GGCTTTATCGCCAACCTTTTTTGTGGTCAGGGACATGAGGGGGACGTTCAACAAGCAATTCGAATCGCCCTGCAGATGCGCGTGCCTTCCTTCGAGTTTGTTGTTCTGTCCATCGACGTCTTACTTGATCGCGTCAAAGCAGATTTAACTCATCAGTGTCCGTTCAGCTCTGGGCTGAGCACATCGAGGCAGCTAAGATTGCAAGGCGGGATGGGGCCTTCTTGCGAGATCTTTTCGGTTGCGCGCTGGACGGGCGGAGACCCCCCCTTAGGTCCTGGCAAGCTCCTTGTGGGATCGCGGCTATCAAGCCGGCTCGTGGGTTTCAAGTTTCGGTGTCCAACTATCTGTTTCAGGTTCGCCTTGAATTGCTGGCCACGATGGCCATTGGGATTGCATGAACACCCGGCCCCTCCAGCCTGGGAGCCAACGTGCGTTCCGAGCTGGCACTTCATTCCTCTCAGGGCTCTCTACTTGGCCAGTCCAATCTGTTGGGCCCCAATGAAGTTGAGTAGGCGGATATTGCCGAGCTGAAGGCGTTCTTTCAAAGTTCACTGAGCACTTGTGCAGAAGACCCAGCGGTGGGTCCGGATTTCGCATTCAGGTGCGCTACTTCCTCCAAGACTTCTGCTCTGTCTCGGATATCCACTGTTGGATATACATCAGGCCAAGGCTGCGCCAACTAGGTTTGAAGAGTTGGAATGCGCCAAATTCGTTGCGGTGTCTGAACTTCAAACGGCGCGTGACTTTCTGTTTCCTTCTGTTTCCATTTCCGCGGTTCTCCCCCTCTGCCGCCAGAAATTGTGCGGGGGGGGTGCTTCCAACCGTGCTGCCGCGCTCTCTCGTCGGAGTGCCAGAGTGTGTGAAACTTAAGAGATGCCTGTCTGCCTAGATGGGTTGTTCATGGGCCAGGCCCCCCCCCCATGTCCGTGGCTGCGAATTCACTGGTGCAGGCCAATCTCCACAGGCGGTTTTCGGCAGTTGTCCGCAATTCCTGATGTGGTGGTGGGCAATGGGAAGTTGCCCTGTAAGTGAGGTGATGGGAGTCATTCGTATTCCACACCGCTTCGAGCGGAATCATTGAGTCTTCGGCGAGTCGTTTTTTTTTTTTTTTTCGCTGCTCGGCCCGCGCCGATCGCCGCGTGCCATCGCCAACTTTACGTTCGGCGAATGCGGCGGCTTCGAGGAGGTGGGTGGGAGGAACAGGGGGTGAGGTTCCAATTTGGGGGAGTTCTCGCCTCATTGTTTTCTCATGCTTTTATTTATCCCTGGGTTCAAGTCCTGGGGAGGATATGGGCCTTCTGTGACGGCGATCCGGGCTGCAACGCTGATTCGTGCTGCACCCCGCTGGCTGCTGCCCTTGGACGGGCACTTCTGCGGACAGCCGATCCGATCCGATCGTTCCCCCTTCTCTTCCTCCCTCTCCCACCTCCTACTCCCCTTCTTCTTCTTCTGTCTCTTCCTCCTCCCCCCTTTTTTCTCCCCCCTCTTCTTCTTCCTCCTCATCCCTCATCCCTCCTTCCCCTCCTCCTCCTCCTCATCCTCCTCCTCCTTCTGGTCCTCCTCCACCTCCTCCTCCCCCCCCTCCCCCTCCCCTTCCGTCCTCCTCCTCCTCCTCCTCTCCTTCGTCCTCCTCCTTCCTCTTCCTCTTCCTCCTCCTCCTCCTCCTCCTCCTCCTCCTCCTCCTCCTCCACTCTCTCCTCCTCCTCCTCCTCCTGGGCGCAACCTGGGGCGCTGAAGAGTCTGGCGCCTCAGCCTTCGAGAAACGACGTTGCTAGGGGCGCACCTTGCAACCGCCATTGGCCGCGCCCCGCGGGCGACGACCCGGGGGGCGCAGCGGGATCGATGCAAACCTGCAAAAGGAACGCGATGGACCTTGCCATCGCGGGGCGGGGCGACCCCCGCCCCGCGACCCCCTGGAAAACTAGGGGCCGCAAACTCCTGGCGGGGCCCGAAAAGAGAAACAATAACTAAGAGAGAAAGAAACAACAAAAAGAGGCGCCAGGCTCACCGCGTGGAGCTCCAGGAGCCCCATTAACCCGCTGATGTCGGGCGGCCCCCGTGGTTCTTCCTGTGCCAGTTGACCCATGTTACCCCGCGTCACCGTGCGGGGCACACGGCGCGTGTCATCGTGCATGGGGGTAACCACGCCCGCCCCCACAGGCCCCTTTGTCCAACGGGGGCCAGGCGGTGCACGTCCTTAGCCGTGCTCTCAACGAAAATCGACCCCTCTGGCCACGCCCGACACCCCGACGTCAGGGGCGGGTCCCAACGCTGGCCAGAGCCAGCCCCCGCACGTGCTGGTACCACGCCGGCCGATGCAGTTTGGAAAACTAGTCCGCGCCAGCCCTGGGGGGTAACCCGCGCGGCCCCAAAACATCGGGTCCATGGGGGACCTGAGACGGCAAACGAATTCCACATGGGGACCACCCGGTAGAATCGGGGGGCCACCCCAAGCGCGCCAAGACACCAATGCCCCTGGGCCGCGGCGCCGCAACCGACGTTTTGGCGGATTTCACTTCCCCCAGGGGCCCCCAGTTCAGACCTCTTCCTCCTCCTCCTCCTCCTCCTCCTCCTCCTCCTCCTCTTCCTCTTCCTCCTCCCTCCCTCTTCCTGCTCCTTCCTCATGCGACCACACCAATATCATGTTAGGGCGCCCGCAGGGCGGGGGCGGAGGAGGAGGAGGAGGAGGAGGAGGACGAGTACGAAGGGCGGAGGACAAGGAAGAGGAGGAGGAGGAAGCGGAGGCGGAGGAGGAGGAACGATCAACGATGCTGCAATTTACCCTCCCATCCCAAATAACGTCGTTGCCGATGTTATGTTTCACTGCGCGCATCCCCATGGGCCCGCAATTCAGGCAGGAACTTTGTTTTGAAGGACACCGCCATCCCTTCCAGCTATGAAGAATGAGACAAGATTCGGTTTTCAAGCCCAAGGGAACGCTCAACAACAACCCCGGTTTGATGAACAACCGCCCTTTCCCAATAAAAGAGTTGCACGCCTTTAACTTTTGGTTTTAAGCTGAAATCCAAACGGAACCTCAAGCGAGAGCCTCAGTATTAATCGTGTTAGAATTTGGCTTTTTAACTCATGAAGCAAATGTGCTCTGCGCGGAGGCAAGGGTCTCGTTTTGGCAAATTGTGTGCGCTGTGGTACAAACTATCTGTATAAATCAGATGACATGCGACCACGATGCGCCCGCGACTGACTACGGGCGGCAACGTGTCGAAACCTCGTCGCGCCCATCCAGCGCGCGAAGCGCCCACGAGTCGCCTGCGTGCGGCAGCGCGGCGAAACCTCGGCACATCTATCCAACGCACGAAGCGCCCACGAGGCGCCCACGGGCGGCAACACGGCGAAACCTCGGCACACCCATCCAGTGGGCTACTGAAAAGCAAAGTGAGACTCTCTAAGTGCAAACGCTGTTTGGGGAAGGGAACCGTGGGGAACTACCGGCTACAGCGACCAGGCCGCCCTAGCAACGTGTCTAGTGATGTGATGCGGAGTTGCTAATGCGGCAGGGAAGAGGAGGGAATGGGGTGAGGAAAACCGGCGGAAAACCTCAGGACCGCCATCCGCGCCATGGCGAGGAGAAGGTCCTGCAGGTCTCTGGGGGCCACAGGAGTCTCCATAGGCTCAAAAAACAATCAAAGAGCAGAAACCTCAAGGAGGAGGAGGGGGAAGAGGAGGAAGAGGAGGAGGAGGAGGAGGAGGAGGAGGAGGAGGAGGAGGAGGAGGAGGAGGAAGAGGAACAGGACGAGGAGGATGAGTACGCGTTTTGGCGTGGCTGGTCAGCGCTGGGGCAAAATCGGGGAAGCCGAAAAGAGCGCGCGAATAACGATGTCGGCGTTCCGAAACACGAACGCAATGCCTCAAGCCAGGAGGAGGTGGTGGTGGCGGAGGAGGCGCAGCGCCGGAGGAAAGCGCTACTCTTCGGGTGCACAGAGCTGGAAAAGAGTCCAGCAGAGGAGGAGGAGGAGGAGGAGGAGGAGGAGGAGGAGGAGGAGGAGGAGGGCGGCCCCCATGGTTCTTCCTGCGCCAATTGACGCATGTTACCCCGCGTCACCGTGCGGGGCACGTGGCGCGTGTCACTGTGCATGGGTAACCAGGCCCGCCCCCGCAGGCCCCCTTGCCCAAGGAAGGCCAGGCGGTGCACGTCTTCAGCCGTACTCTCCACGAGAGTCGACCCCTCTGGCCACGCCCGACACCCCGACGTCAGGGGCGGGCCCCAACAGTGGCCAGAACCAGCCCCCGCACAGGCTGGTACCACGCAGGCCGACGCAGGCTGGAGAACCAGTCCGCGCCAGCCTTGGGGGGTAACCCACGCGGCCCCAGAACGTCGGGTCCCCGGGGGATCTGAGACGGCAGACCTACTCCACACGGGGATCACCCTGTAGAGTCGGGGGGCCGCCCCAAGCCTGCCAGGGCACCAATGCCCCTGGGCAACGGCGCCGCAAACGACGCCTTGGCGGATTTCAGTTTCCCCAGGGGCCCCCAGTTCAGACCTCCTCCTCCTCCTCCTCCTCCTCCTCCTCCCTCCCTCCTCCTGCTCCCCCCTCATGCGACCGCGCCAATATCATTTTAGGGCGCCCGCAGGGAGGAGGAGGAGGAGGAGGAGGAGGAGGAGGAGGAGGAGGAGGAGGAGGAGGAGGAGGAGGAGGAGGAGGAGGAGGAGACGCGAAGCGCCCACGAGTCGCCCATGTGCGGCAACGCGGCGAAACCTCGGCACACCTATCCAGCACACGAAGCGCCCACGAGGCGCCCACGGGCGGCAACGCGGCGAAACCTCGGCACACCCATCCAGTGGGCTACTGAAAAGCTAAGTGAGACCCTCTACGTGCAAGCGCTGTTTGGGGAAGGAAGAGGTGGTACATTATCGGCTAAAACGGCCAGGCCGCCCTAGCAACGTGTCTAGTGATGTGATGAGGAGTTGTTGATGCGGCAGGGAAGGGGAGGGAAGGGGGGAGGACGACCGGCAGAAAACCTCAGGACCACCCTCTACGTCACGGCGAGGAGAAGGTCTCCGGAGGTCTCCAGAAATCACCAGAGGTCTCTGGGTGCGACAAAGTCTCCATAGGCTCAAAAACAATCAAAGAGCAGAGACCTCAATGAGGAGGAGGAGCAGGACGAGGAGGATGAGGACGCATTTCGGCGTGGCTGGTCAGCGCTAGGGCGAGATCGGTAAGCCGAAAAGAGCGCGCGAATAACGAAGGCGGCGTTCCGAGACACGAACGCAATGCCTCAAGCCAGGAGGAGGTGGTGGTGGCGGAGGAGGCGCAGCGGTGCACAGAGCTGGAAAAGAGGTGGGCGGCAGGCCTCACCGTCTCCAGCAGAGGAGGAGGAGGAGGAGGAAGAGGAGGAGGAGGAGGAGGAAGAAGCGAAGAGGGGGAGGAATAGACAAGAAAAGACGAGGGGGGGAGGAGGATCGGGAATGATGATAGGAGGAGGAGGAGGAAGCAGCAGAAGCGGAAGAGGGAGAGGAATAGACAAGAAAAGACGAGAGGGGAAGGAGGATCGGGGATGATGATAGGAGGAGGAGGAGGAAGCAGCAGAAGCGGAAGAGGGAGAGGAATAGAGAAGAAAAGACGAGAGGGGAAGGAGGATCGGGGATGATGATGATGATGATGATGATGATGATGATGATGATGATGATGATGATGAGGAGGAGGAGGAGGAGGAGGAGGAGGAGGAGGAGGAGGAGGAGGAGGAGGAGGAGGAGGAGGAGGAGGCAGAGGAGGAAGAGGAGGAGGATGCGCAGACAATATCTGGATACAACGTGAGAACACGAGTTCAAATAAGCATGGAATCAAGGGGGGATCAATCCAAGGAAGAGGAAGGCATTGCAAAGGAGGAAGGGAAGGACACCAAACATCATACGATCCATCATGCGTTTCAGGCACATACTAACCACGGATAGTAGCCACACGAACTATGAAAATGATGAGGGGGGGGGGAGGGGGAGGAGCATGGAGGAGCAGGGGCAGGAGGAGGAGACGAGGAAGATGGGGAGGAGGAGAAGACGAAAGGAGGGACGAAGACCAAGAGGGAGGAACGACGAGGAGGGCGAGGAAAGGAGGAGGAGGAGCACGGCGGGCGGCGAGGGCGACGGCGGCCGCCGCGGAGCGCGGCGGGCGGCGGCGGCGGCGGCGGACGGCGAGGGCGCGGCTCTCTTCCCTGCTTTTCTCCGACTGGCTCTCGCCGTCCGAGGGCGCGCCGCCCTCCGCCTCAGCCGAGCCTGCCGGGCGCGGGGGGGGGGCGGGGGCGGGGGGGAAGGGGCGCGGGCGGCCCCCTGCTCGGCCGCACGAGCGCGGTCGCCCCCGCTCCTCCTCGTCCCGCCTCCCTCCGCCTCCGCGCTCCTCCTCGCGGCTCCTCCTCCCTCCTCCCTCCTCCTCCTGCTCCTCCTCCGACTCGTCCTCACGCACGCCCCATCCTCACGCACACTCCTCCTCCTCCACCTCCTTCTCCTCCTCCTTCTCCTCCTCCTGCTCCTCCTCCTCCTCCTCGGTCGGTCGGATGCTAAAGACGTTCGAGTTCGCCGTCTATCCGAAGCAAAATGAGCAGGGGCAAGAGAAAAGGCGGATGAAAGAGAGCAGCAACAAGGCAGCCGTGGCAACGGCTCCCTATCCGTCCTCGGCCCTCCTTCGCCTCCTCGTCCTCCTTCTGATTCTACTCTGAACGCATTATCCTTTCTCGTTGGCCAAGCTTGACTAATGCGGTTTGAACATTCACACATCAATAAACAACTAGCCGCAACGTGCAACAGCAGCAACCTCGTGATACAAAGAGGATGAAACAACACACATGAAAGGGTGAGAAGCCTGGGCAGG